GTGTGTGTGTGTGTGTGTGTGTGAGAGAGAGAGAGAGAGAGAGAGAGAGAGAGAGAGGATGAATTGCAGGAGTTGGAATTGATTCTCTCTTTCCATCATGTGGGGATCAAGAATTGAACTCAGGATTCCAGGCTCACTCAGCAAGCAGCTTTACCTGATGAGCCTTCTCACTGGCCCCCTCTTTCCTATATTCCTAAATGACCACTTCAAATTCCCAGGTCTAGTGGTCCCAGGCATGGTGGTTCATGCCTTTAATCCCAGGTCTAGAGAGACAGAGGCAGGTAGATTTCTGAAGCCTAATCTACTATGTGAGAGCCAGGACTACACAGAGAAATCCTGTCTCAAAAAAGAAAGGAGAGAAAGGAAGGAAAAAAGGGAGAGAGGGAAGGAGGGAGGGAAGGAGAAAGGAAGAAAAGAAGGAAGGAAGGAAGAAAGAAAAAAGAAAGAAAGAAAGAAAGAAAGAAAGAAAGAGAGAAAGGAAAAGAAAAAATGCATTAATTAAAATATTCTGAAAACCAAAATTGAGGCCAGTGAAATCGCTCACCAGACAAAGGTGTTTGCCAACAAGCCTGGCAGCCTGAGTTAACTCCTAGTGATTCACATAGTACAAGAAAAGAACTGACAAGTTGTCCCTGGACCTCCACACATGCACTGTTGTACTCATGAGCCCCCACACATACATGAACGTGTGTACACACTTGAGCACACAAACTAAATAACAAATACATTTAATTTAAAAAAACAAACTTAAATGTGCCTGCTTTAGTGTCTGCAATCACTGTTTTAAAAAAATTAAAAAGGGGAGAAAGAAAACACTGTAAATTACTGATCAGATCTCAAGTATGATGCTAAACAACTCTAATGATGAATTTCTGCTAAATCCTATTATCACTAAAGTGTTTATATGTTCTTCTGGGACTCTACACAACCTCTGCCTCAACTTCAGTGTTTGCCTTCCTAAACTGAAAGAAGTAATTTGGTCAGTGTACAGCTACTAGAAAAGTTTTCCATACTAGGGAGAGAGAGGTTGAGGAGGGAGAAATTGTGTTATTTGGGGGAGGAGGTAGGCATATGAGTTATGTAAGAGCTCAGTTTGAATCTTTCTAGATGAAATAAACACTATTATTACCAAGGCTCCTAGTTGAAATGAGTGGGTCCATGACCATATCCAGTTAATAATAAGCTGGAAGGCAAAGCCACTGAGGACTCCCCTAGGCAATGGATGACAGGGACTCCCAGAAGTCCTGTGTTTTCCCTTTAGTAACTGAACATCACTTGTTACAGGCCCACTCCCTCTGTAACTCATTTCTTTTTTTTAAAGATTTTATTTATTTATTTATTTATTTATTATGTATACAACATTCTGTTTCCATGTATATCTGCACACTAGAAGAGGGCACCAGATCTCATAACGGATGGTTGTGAGCCACCATGTGGTTGCTGGGAATTGAACTCAGGACCTCTGGAAGAGCAGTCGGTGCTCTTAACCTCTGAGCCATCTCTCCAGCCCCATGTAACTCATTTCTTTACCAAATACCAAGCTGCTACTCCGCTTCTGGCTATGGAGTCAAAGAGAGAATCTTTCTCCAAATCAAGCATAGAAAAATGAAGCCAAGAGTTTGGATTTACTCAGAAATAATTAAGAACTCTAGGGAGATCTGGAATCTGAGGTTTCTGTCTTGCCTCTCCCTGAGCTTGAATAATATAAGAAGAGTTCTCAGTGCATAGGGGCAGAAAAAAGAACTACTGCTTTGCTGCTTCTGGAGAATTCTGCAACACAAGAGAGTAGAAGTCTACCATGGGCTAGGAAGGACAGCATTCCTGTCTCTAGAGTAAACTACACATTAAGGGAGCAAGCTTTCCTGTGTAATTCAAAGGCAGAACTCTCCCTAACACTGTAGATAAAAAAACAAAAACAAAAACAAAAAAACCCTAAACATAGAGTCTTCTTTTTAAAATCACTGAAAAGACTTGTTACAGAACACACACATGCACATATACATACAACACACAGTAAATAAGGGTTTCTGAAATGAACAATTGGATGGGACCTCATATAGGAAGGCATGATAGATTTATTTGGATAGCTCCAATGTCACAATAACATTAAGACAGACTTCAGCCTTCCTCTTTTTTTTTTTTTTTTTTTTTTTTTTTTTTCCTTTAATGCCTCTAAGTTCTCCCTGCAGCTTGCTCCTCGACTAAAAGCATCTTCACTGTGTACATTTAGCACACGCAGCAAGACTGGTTCACAGTTGAGCAAACCTAGACGTTCACCCCCCTACACACACACACAAACACACAAGAGTAGGTATCCTCTAACACCAATCTGGGCCAGGGCTGGTGTGGCTCAGCTTCTCTTTGCTATTTAAATGTATGCTTCTGTAGAGTTCTAGGCAAGCTGGTTGAGGCTGGATCAGCTGGGAGATCCCAGGGGCATATAAACAGCATTGACTGTTTTAAGTGAAACCATTTTAACAGACAGCTGGTTTAGGACCCAGACAATGGAGCACTGAGAAGAAGTCTCATTGTCAAACTCCACAGTAAATCATACGCCTGCTCATCAGGAGGAAGGTGGTCTGCTCAGAGAGCAACAAAGACAACACTGGCTTAAATAAATCGATGTGTTTATCAGAAGTGAGGGTGGGGGAGCCACTACTAAGGTAGGAAGGAGAGCAAGAGAAATTATTAAAATGCATTATTTAAATAAATCATTGAGGGTGAATCAAGTTGAGGTTTATAACCATAGAAACAAAAGATATAGTGTCAAGTGAAAA